GCTGCTGGCATCCTTCTCTTCTCTGCTCTGGCTGCTGATTTCCTTACAGCCCTCCCAGATGGAGCATCTCTGCCACCACGAGTGAGCTCGGTCCTGCAGACGTGGTGACACTGAACAGACTCGCTGTAAGGGCTTAGAGGAGTCCTGGCTTTGACCCAGGACCAAAAAAAAAAAGCCTCCATATTATGCAGCACCCTCTCTGGAGCTTTTCTGCGCTGATGGGAGGCACGTGGGGTGACCCAAAGCTGGTGCAGCTCAGCAGTGCAGCCAGGATGATCCCACTGGCAGCATTAACACCAATGACCTGCTTTACCCTGAGTGGGTTTTTTTGATAGCCAATGAGCATGTTGGATGCAATGCCTTCAGCTCCACGATCCAATGACACAATCCAGGCTGGAAGGAGCCATGTGTTTTCTTCTGCATGCAGCTACCACTGTGCTTCCAAACACGTCTCTCCTCTTTCCTTTTTTTGTACAGTAACTTTGCACACACAAACGTCAAACAGCAGCTGTTTGGCCAGCATTTTGAAAAGCAACTAGTGATTTTAGCTGCCTTAATTTTGAAGCCAGGGTTTCCACTCTACAGGGTAAAAAGGCCTTTTTTTTTTTTTCTTCTCAAGTAGCTGTGTAGATATTTTAACCTATTTCTTTTGTAAATGTGAACCATGGAAACAGTCAGACCTTATCAGTCATGAGCATCTTTGAGGTTTCCCCTTGTAGAAAGAAAATGTCATGGTGCTTGTCAGAGCCAAGCTACACAGGGCTTCTCCTACTTAAATTAAGCATAAGCAAACCTACAGTGTGTCAGAGCCTCCACTAGGTAAACAGCATGCTGGATAATTTTGGAGGTCACTTCAATGCTGGGGTTAAAATCTGAGCAGGAAACTGTGCTAAGAAAGGTTTCTTGGAAAGTCTTTCTCTCCTGGCTGAGCCATCTCAACCCCAGAGCCTTTGCTGGTGTTTTGGCCCTTCTTGTCTCCGGATGGAGCTGGAATTAAAAAGGATATGTACAGGTTTTGGAAAAAAGGACTGAAGTCACAATTTAGATCAGGGCTCTAAATCCTTCAAAGTGTCTTAGGAAAGCCTGAAAAATGTGGCTGAAGGAATTGATTTTTAGGGTACCGATTTAATCTGCTGCAGCTGAAAGATCACTTGTTAATAGTTTGGGGCTTTTGCTGTGGGCCCAGAACAGACCTCTGGGCTTGCAGTGCAGGGCTGTAGCTTTTCCAGCAAGTGGTTAAGAGAAGAAGGGAATCAAATTCAACTGGTATCCCCTTGGGATTGAACTAGGAGCACTGAGTGAATTAAGTGCTATTCACTGTGGAAAATGCTACAGGATACTGATTTGTTTCTGTGTCCTTATTTCATGACACAAAAGTAAAAAAATAATATCTTTATATGTGCTGAAAAGCATTTAACCAGAATTCCTGGTTCAGTTCCAGAGAGAGAGTCCTGGTTTAATTCCATGCAGAGATGGAATCGCTGCACCAAGTTAGCTGTGGACAGCCCTGCTGGTGTGCTCCCACAGAGAAGGTCTGCAAGAAGGGACAACCCTCTGCACTTCCCAAGGTCAGGATAAAGCCACGTATCCCACCCCAGAGCACCTTCAAAAGGTTTTGTTGAAACCCCAAAGCACAAAGAGGAGACTGGCAGCGTCCTTCACCTTTTCTACGAGAATCAACACCAGGACAAAGTGCTGCAGAGATGAGCTCAGCTCTGTATGTGTCCCCTTCCCGTGGATGGAGGCAGCGACTGTGCAGGGTGCAGGTTTGCCTGTAAATCCCATTCATCACACACCAAGTCTTCTCCTGCCTAATCCTCTCTTCTTCCACGCCTGGCTAAATGATTTCCCTGCAGCAAGGCAGTTGTCCCCGATAACGCGATAGCGGGCGATGGCTCACTGGCTTATGTCAAATCTCAGCAAAATGAATGGTGAGGATGTGTCCCTATTAATTTATCCGCTTCTCATAAATTTCATCTTGCTAATCCTTGCTTCTCAAATACCTTCTTTTGGTGGGGTTGACTTCAGCTGCTCAGAGAGCGCCACTTCTCTACAGGGACAGGCCCAGGTCAGCAGTGGAAAGAGGGAATTGTAGAAACACAGAATGGTTTGGGTTAGAAGGGATCTTAAAGATCGTGTAGTTCCAACCCCTCTGCCATGGACACAGGCACCTAACACTAAACCAGGTTGCTCAATGTCCTATCCAGCCTGGCCTTGGATACTCCAGGGATGGGGCATCCACAGCTTCTCAGGGAGATCTGACAACAGGCTGCACGTTTGTAAAAATCCTGCTCCTGGGTGGGAGAATCAGTAGGCTTAAACAATAGCAAAACAGATGCAGTTTGAGCATTACAGAGGAGGGAAAGAAAACATGGTCATGATAGGTACAAGGTAAATGCTAGAGCAGATCGTGGGAGAGATTGCAGAGGCTGCATCTGAAAAGGTTGTGTGTGGAGCCTGTCAAAATTCTGTCTTTGGAGTGGATTTAGGTGTAGATGACCATGCCCTTGTGTTCCCTAACAACAAGAGAGAGCTTTTAGATCTCTGTCATTCATTTCATCCCTATTTTTCATTATTTTTGTAATACTGCTGTTGGAGATCAGGAAAAATAAAAGGGAAAGTCTGTCTTCTCTTATATAACTAGAAGTAAATACATAATGCAGCTTAATTGAAATTACTGACTTCCCCAAATAAGCTGGATGTAACTCGATCAACAGTGATCTGGTTAATACAGAAAAAATGACTTTGTGATATCCAGTGCCCACAGATTAGAGCACTGAGGATGGAGTAATGAGACACCAATAGCAGATCCACAGGGAAAGAAGACCATGTAGATTTGCTGCTGACGCAAAAAGGATAACTTGAGCAAAAGCAAAATCCAGTAGTTCAACCCTGGAGCAGGAAAAAGAAGGGATGAGAAACTGGATTAATGGTACCCACCCTGGGGTTTTGTTCTTTGTTGGATTTCTTGAGCAGGTCTCTGCTGTTCTGGACCTCAGTCGAAGGTGTAGTCTCAGTCTGTACAGCCTAAAGCTGTACAAAAAAAATGATGTCATTTAAGGATATGCTTTGAAAACACAACAAATCCATTGAGCTGAGTGCTTTGTCCTTGAGTTCAGCTGGAAACCTCTAACATTTGAGGGGCACTCTAGAGGAAAAGACAACTATTTAAGGAGCATCTGGAGAGATGGGCTTCAGATGCCCTTTTCCCTATTTATACTTATTAGAGATGAAATTGAAGTTCAGCATGATTAAATTATACATATAAAGAAAAGCTTCCACAAACAAGAAAACATAAGCAACGTGGGAAGGAACAGAACTGCAAAGAGAACGAGAGGAATGAAACCAAACAGGATGCCAAACTGCAAAAGACATTTCAACAGCACCTAATTAAAACTGTTCACATTTGCAACAGACAGAAGGTAAAGACATTCACTAGGAAACAGAAGAAAGGGAGTTTAAAAAAAAAAAAGCATTAAAAGGAGTGATTTAAGTCAATCACAGGAAATTCTGGAAAAATAGCAAGATTGAGCAAAGGGCAGTTGCAGAACGTGAAGTGCATTTAGAGTTGGGGAGTTATTTCCAATTGTCTCCCAGCAGAAGTGACTCCAGCTGGCAATAATGAGGAATGTGCTGTTCAGCAGCCCCTGCCCACAGTGCCGGCAGCCTATGGGGAGCTGGCACTGCCAGCCTTCCACACCCGTCTCCATGCAGTGCTTTGAATAATATCACATAGCAACCAGCCCAGGACTGAGAAATCAACCCAGGTCCCACTCCAATAACTTAATCACGAGATTATCTCCCAGCTTCTTTTGTTAATTAATGACTCTTCGTCTTTTGGCTTCAGAAACCGTAGATACAGCAGTAACGGTGAGGCTGAAAATCCATCATGACACCTTTGTTAGCAGGATGAACTAATAACACTTTTTCTCCTGTGACACCTTTCAAAACCTGACATGTTCACCACTGGGCTCATCTGGTTTCCGATGTGCAGGAGAGCAGCAGCAACTTATAAGTGGAATAATCAGGACAAATCTTTCAAAAAGGTGAAATCAAACCTTCACTAGTGACAAAAACATGGAAGATGAAAAAAAGAATCAAGAAGGAGCTACACTGTACTTGGCTTGTCTCTGTGTAGGCAAAATCATTTTCATAATTAGTGAGCAAGGGGTGAAAATAAGCGAATAGTATTTGAAAGGGAAAGGATGGTTCTGTACCATGTTTGAGAATGAAAAGGGGAGGGTATTTTTCCTTCTTGTGGTACAGACTTCACTTTCAGAAAGGGCTGGCTAGGTGAAAACTGAGCTTCCTAGCTAGAGAGAGGTTGATTTATGTGTACACAAGAAATCTCCCTGTTCCGAGATAAGACACCGAAGTGCTTTGTTAATGATGAATGATGAATGGGCAGTCAAGCTGTAGGAAGGAACTCTACATTAGGTAAGTCAAGAGCCATCTGAGGCCTTTGGTAACCCACTAGTCTAGATGCTGCCTGAGATCCAGCCATCCCTTCCTCATCCACCCACAATGCTACACGGAGACGCCATAAATCACTCGTACACTCCATGAAGAATTGCCATCCGTCCAAAGGTGCATGTTAAACAATCCCATGCTGGGATGTCTGTGTTCCCTCTCTGCCTGGATGGGTCCCAGATAATTAGCTCTGTGTTGGTGGATAACAGCCAGCAGGGATGTTTCAGCCCTCCAGAGCAGGAGGGTGCCCAAAAGGCTGGAGGTCCTGCTCGGGCCAGCCCAGGTTACTCTCTTGCTTTTGGCATGCTGTGATTTGGCTGTGAGAGTCAGGACGAGGCAGCAGGGTTGTTTCTAGCCCTGACACAGAGAAATAGAGCAGTGTCCCAGAGAGGCAAGTGGCACAGGCATGTGGCTGTACTCATTGTCTCCTCAATAATGTCATTTTTGCAGGGGCAATGGGAAGGGGAAGAGCAGAATCCCCCCTGGACCGCCTCCTTCGCCGGGAAGTGACTGATGAGCCTGGCAGCCTCTGAACAAATATTTCTGATGCAGAGAATTCACTTGTCAACTTGGAGGAGCCCCGAGAGGAAATTTCCAAAGCAGATCTGTCGGAGATAATGACACCGCACAAGGAAGCCCTCCTTAGGAGGAATGTCTTCAGAAGACGTGGAGTGTTTGAAAACACGATGCTTCTGTGTGTTCCTGTTGATGAGTTAAAATTCAAGCAGCCGTGGCTGAATTTTTAATCTGTGAGCTGTAACAGGTGAAGCTCAAGGAGGCGGTGAGTCATTTTTTTCACCTTCCTAGATGCTTCCTTGGTCAGTCAGAACTTGTTTTCTTTCCAGATCAGAAACCTCTTTAGGCCCGAGATAAGTCACTGTGTTCTGCCTCATCCAGATTACAAACCAGGGAATTTTTGTGCATCTGGATGTTTGTGTAATTGCCTAACAGTGCGAAACCTCATCTCAGCTGAAGCCTCTTAGCTCCACTGTTAGATAAAAAGCAATTAACAGTAACCATAACCAGAAACACTTTTAGCGTGAGGACAGGCAGCAAATGGCAAATAGATATATCAACAAATGTGTTTTTGCCTTGTACTTTGCTGTTTGCAGTCAATGGGTCATTAATTTTTATATGAGTATCACGTACTTATAAGTGGTTTGGGAATCTTGAAGTTATTACCTGCGACAGTGGCTTTGATTATGTTGGCTGCTCTGTGCTGCCCCTGATCCTTCAGTTTAAAAGCCACCCAAAAGGATAGAGCAGCCAGAATCACACCCCAAGGCAATCCTGGGTGCCCAAAGGCACTGGTTACTCCTTGCACTTGTTGAATCTCTCGAATATGTTTCCTCAACACAGGGCTGGGTTTGTAAAGCCATTTCCCCTCTGAAAGCTCATCAGCATGCACACATCGTAGGTGTTGTTCTTCTAGCTTTTCTGAGTAGCAGTATTTTATCCTGTCAAATATGAAATTGGCTCGGGTCAGGAATTTTGTGCTGAGCTAGTCAATCTTTTGGGTTTTCTCTAATTAAATCTGGGACAGACAACCAATAGATTCGTCAGCTGAACACAGATAACTATTTTAATCTCCTTTTTCCAGGTGTTTTCAGATCGTTTCGCATTTTCTGATTCATTAGCTCGAGTTTCAGTTCTCTGGGAAAAAAACGTAGGAAAACCTATATTTTACTGGGCAAGTCAATTGTTTTATACAAAATAAGGTTTACTTTCCATGTGGTAACAGAGGCACTTGTAGATTATCTGTGTGCAAAATGACATGAATAACATTAGCTGGATTCATGCAAGTGGGGTTTTTTAATCTGAATAAGTGCAGAGTTTCAAAAAAAAGTAGATACAGAGGTGTCAAGGATGAGATTGCCTGTTACCACACTCTGCACTGGAGCTGTGCTTTGGCTATCAGTTATTTTTAAGCTTGGTCTCCTGGTGTTAGCCTTTGTCTCCAGATAATGTATCAGCAATTACCTGTTCAGTTTTATTATGCTCTTGTTCCTTCATGCAGACATTCAGGACTTCATTTGCTCCCACCTTGCAGACAGACTTAAATGTTAAGCTTGTTTTCCTACCAGATGGAGAATAGATGCCCCTATTTCAGGTAAGTGTTTTGTGATCTCTCCCTGGTGTGAGAAGATGATCCTGTGCTTGTTATAGTTCAGGTCAGGAAGGCTGCGAAATGCAAATCAAACCAGACCTTTTGTGCCTGACAGGTTAGAGGGGCTTTGCTGAGCTATTTGTATCTTTAATATAATTTGGGTGTCCTTTTTGTGCAGTAATGTGGCTGTGGGCAGTGCAAAAGGATTTTGCTGGAACAGTTCAGCCTGGAAAGCCCCATTCCTGGAAGCAGTCAAGGCCAGGTTGGGTGTGGTTTTGAACAACCTGGTCTAGTGGAAGGTGTCCCTGCAGAGGGGTTGGTCTAGATGGTTTTTAAGGTCTCTTCCAACCCAAACTGTTCTATGATTCTATGATTTTTATGCCTTGACCCTTCTTGAAGATTATGGTAAAGTAAACCAAAAACAAGCCAAATGTGCAAAGACCAGCACCTTGGTCATTGCAAAATATTGGGCTGCTCATAAAATATTCAGGGAAGACGGTTTCTACCCCTTGAATGATGTGAATTTTGTGAATGTGGTTCCCAGCACAGTTCTGCAACCATTTCCCCCCCTCTTACTTCCCTTGTAGAGGATAAGTCTCTGCTGTACTAGTTTCCCACAGCCAAATGCAAGCAGGCTGCCTGTCTTATCTCCATTTGCCCCCTTCTGTGCAAACGCTTCAATCACTTCCTGCAAATTTAATGTTTTTTCAACTACTGACGTGCTCCTCATCTCCACTCTGCAATTATGAAATGATGTGCTGATGTTTTAAGGCAAATGTTTTTGTTTTAAAATGTGCAACATCCAAATTTACAAAAAAAAACCCCAAACAAACCCAAAACAAACCCAAACCAAAATAAACAGATCCCTCCCCAAATTCTCTCTGATGCTAATTATAGAAATCTCATCTCTCCAGCAGAAGCATCAGTCAACAGAGGGTTTGGTTCTTTTCAGAGGCTGAATCTTTGGAAAAATATACTGAGGATGGTGCATAAAAGTGGGGGATGTGACAGGTACGTGCTGGAGGTGAATGCTGAGAGTTTGGAAATGCAAACAGACTTCAGGATTTGCCAGTCCTCTTCCTCCCCCAACACCCAGAATATTGCATTTGTTGGTTGGTCTTCATTTTTAAATCATCCAGTGCTCTGCTGTCAAGACACATGTGTTGTTTTCATAGAGTTGGCACCAGAAGTTATTATTTTTTTCCAGCTCAATTTAGAGAAGGGTAACAAATATTCTGGGTTTGCTCTGAAATCATTACGGGAGGAGCTCCTGGATTATCCATCATGGTTGCTCCCGCAATGAAAATGCAGCTCTTCTGTCAGCAGGAGTTTCAGCCTGATGATGTTTCTGGCTGTCAGGACGCAACCCCAGACTGTCCCCACCACAAGAGACGGTTGGAATAAACTGGCAAATTCATTCCAGTGCTGATTTTTATTAGGGAATCTTATTTAAATACTGCATGCTCCTCTTTCACAAGAAAGCCAGAGGCTTTTTTTCCCCTTCTAATGCGTTTTAGAGGCAATCTGACATTTTCTAATGGCTCTCAGGTATGTATAATTTATCCTGCTCCACGTCCACATTTTCCAAAATAACACTGGAAAATCATCTGGGTTCCTGCTTTTTTTGGACAACCATTACTCTCACTTTTTTTTTTTTCCAGGTTGACCTATAAATGTCCATATGCTGCAGGATAATTGCAGTAGGTGTAGGTTCCTTTGGAGACGGTCTTGTGTGGGAGACAATATGACAGCTCATCTGCATAGCACAGGCATCATTCCCCCGACTCGATTTAGCAAAGAGTCCTGGATCCAAAGGCTTCTCCCCTATCTCCTGTATATCCAGGGGATTGCTCGCATACACGGCGCGCTCACGCTCTCCCGTGCAGTCATTTCTCCGCTATCTGGGGGCAGCTCAGCTGGCTGGAGAAGAAATCACAGAGTGCCACAAGCGTGGCACACCGTGGCGTGGGGACGTGGCCTCTGCTGTTGGATCCCCACGCTGTATCCAGGCATTCCTGAGCTGTGTCAAAAGGGTGTGTTAACACGCAGCTGGAATATTTCATCACGTTAACCGGGACGAAGGCCGTGCTGATAAACTGGTGGAACTGATGACCCAGGAGGGTGTTCAGTCTCCCAGATGCCGTTACTTTCAATTAGGAGCTTGTTGAAACTATGAGAGACTTTTGGGGGGATAAAAAAAAAAAAAAAGAGAAGCTGGGATGTAAGTTATCAGCGTGGAATTGGGATGAGGTGCAGGAGAGGGAGCTGTGTCACCCCATGCCTCAGCATCCCTAACCCCGCTACAGCTGGATGTCAATGATTTTCACCCGGTATCTAAGGAGTCTGTGGACATTTAAGTGTTTAATTTAAAGACCTCCAGCAGACAAGCACCCTTTCCATCCCAAAATACACCTTCCAGGTGTGTTTTGGAGAGGGATTGAGCAGGTGGGCTTGAACACATAGCAGAGATGGGGCACTTTTATTAATTTTGCAGGTTTTTATGCTCTGACAAGATGTGTTCCATGGCTGCAGTGGCTGTGTCAGCTTCATGGGAGCGCGATGAGCCAGGGGACACAGGGGTGGTCTCAGCACGTCAGTCATGCTGGGGGTTGGAGCAGGGGTTGGTCTCTGCCTGTGACAGTCATGCAGGTGTGTGTGACAGCAGCGCTGCCTCCGAGTCTCAGTCACGCTGGGAGAGTGACAAGGCTGGTCCCTGCCAGTGTCAGCCACGCTGGGTGTGTGACAGGGGCGATCCCTGCTGGTGTCAGTCACACTGGGGGTGTGACAGGGGCGATCCCTGCTGGTGTCAGTCACACTGGGGGTGTGACTGGTGTCAGTCACACTGGGGGGGTGATGGGGTGGTCGCTGCCTGTGTCAGTCACGATCTCTGACGGTGTCAGTCACACTGTGGGGGGTGATGGGACGGTCCCTGCCCGTGTCAGTCACATTAGGGGTGTGATGTGGGCAGTGTTACTCGCGCTGGGGGTGTGACAGAGGCGGTCCCTGCTGGTGTCAGTCACACTGGGGGTGTGGCAGGGGCGGTCCCCATCTGTGTCAGTCACACTGGAGGTTTGATGGGAACTGGTGTCTGGCTGTGTCAGTCAAACTGGGGGAATAACAGGGACCGGTGTCTGGGTGTCATTCCCACTGAGCAGGTGAGGGGGGCTGGCCTCTGGCTGTGTCAGTCACCTGGGGGTGTGACAGAGGTGGTCCCTGCCTGTGTCAGTCACACTGGAGGTGTGACAGGGGAGGTCCCTGGTGGTGTCAGTCACACTGGAGGTGCGAGAGGGGAGGTCCCTGGTGGTGTCAGTCAAATTGGAGATGTGACGAGGGAGGTCCCAGACTGTGTCAGTCACAATGGAGGGGTGACAGGGGCCAGCCCCCAGCTGTGTCAGTGATGCCGGGGATGCACCGGGAATGGTCTCCGGGAATGGCAGTCCCGTGAGAGTGTGAAAAGAGGCTGTGTCAGTCACGGGGGTGTGAGGGACCGGTCAAGGGGGTGTGACAGGGGCTGATCCCTGGCTGTGTCTCTCACAGGGGATGTGACAGGGGCTGATCCCTGGCTGTGTCTGTCACAGAGAGGGTGTGACAGGGGCTGATCCCTGACTGTGTCTGTCACAGGGGGTGTGACAGGGGCTGATCTCTGGCTATGGCAGTCACAGGGGGTGTGACAGGGGCTGATCTCTGGCTATGGCAGTCACAGGGGGTGTGACAGGGGCTGATCTCTGGCTGTGTCTGTCACAGGGAGGGTGTGACAGGGGCTGATCCCAGCCCTTGGTGACGCCAATACTGCGAGACAGCTCTGGGAGGAGCGAAGGGCGAAGGTGGGACAGGTTGGGATGTTTTGGGGTGTTCCCAGTGCAGTCAGAGCTGCTCGTTTTGTTTCCTTTTTAATCACAGAGTGGTTCACGTTGGAAGGGACCACGGTTGGTCATCTGGTCCCGCCTCCCCGGTTGTGAAAACGAAGAAGAAAAAGAACTCACCGAGAGTTTGTATTTTCCTGGGGCACCGCTAAAAACTTAGTATTTACGCTTAATCGGGTGCTGCGTTAAAAAATCCTTTGTGCTGAATAGATTATCAAACGGATTATCAAATGCTTTTCTGAGCCAACCTAGAAATCCAGGAGTTACAACAAAAACCAGTGAGTACAGAGAACTGCTCAGCAGGTGAAGATTTCCCCTTTAATTCATTAACAAGCTCACCTGTGCATTTTCGAAACTAAGCACGTGTAAGGTGCAGGCAGCAGACAAATCTCCAAACCCATGGCCAGTCGTGGCAGGAAGCCACAGAGTGTGGCCATTCTTGCACAATCACCTTCTGCCCCGCACCAGAAGTTACTGCCCTGCAGGTTCCTTTAGAGTCTTGTATCTCCAGCCCTTGAATTGAGCTGTGGGAGTTGAGCTGACAGAATCAGACAGTGGTTTTTGCATAGAAATTTGCTGAGAGTCTGCATCAATATCTGCCAGGAAAATGCAAGTTTGGGAAACTAAAGCATGACCAGCCTGCTTTTTACGGTCCTTGCGTAGTTTTTTTTTTTCCTGTTAGTTGTTCCATGGTCTTTAGAGCTTGACTCTAGATTTTGTAACTGTAGTTAGAACTTGTTTTCTCAATCTTTCTTCCAAAAGCCTCACTCCTGAGGTGCCCACTGACTGAGACCCAGAGATGTAGAAGATCCTGGCAAGCACCACAGGAAAAAGCATGTTAGGATAACCAGGGTGGAGCTGGCTAGGATAGCAAAACGATTCCTTGCTCCAGGTGATTTTAGAGAGCACAGCATTGGAGATCCTGAACTTTCTTTTAACGGCACTCCTAGGGTTCTGTGCTGGTATTCTTTCAAAATTCAGAGTCTCTAACAGCTATTGCAAGTCTGTCACCAGAGTTCAGTGGGCTAAAGGGAGCCCAGCTTTCCCCTGGGGAGTTAAAATCTCAACCTTCAGCCAAATATCACTTAAGCCTCTCTGAATTCAGCTCCTACTTAGGGGGTTTTTTTTGGTTGTTCTATGTAAAAGAGTCTGAAGCTCTCAGATGTTTTAAAGTGCTTATGACAGTCCTAAAACAAAGTAGCCAGATGTCAGAAAACTCTGTGGCCAATAAAAAATTCAAATTTGATGGGTTGGGATGTTAAACCCTGCATAAAATATATTACACTCCCATTGTGACAGCAAGCAAGTTTGCATGTTTTAGTGAATTTAATGGGGAAAAAATTTAAGAAATTACTCCAAAGTAGATCTAGCTGACAAATTGATTACAGGTCCTCGTCTGTCCTGACAGACTCTTCAAAACACATGACAGTGAGGTGGCATAAATAAAAAGGATTTGGCATCCATATATGTGCACTGGGAATATAAATCTAGGACAGGCACAAAGCACCAATAATGTAATTTTAATAGGAATCATATATTGTAATGAAATGGGTGATTCTCTTATTTTTCTGCCTTCTCCTTGAGGATTACAGCTGATGGGAAAGTCTTAGAACGTGGAATTTAACAAAAACATGTGCTTGCAGAGGCAACATATGAAAGGGAAGGCAGAGTACATTTAAATACTCTAATACCAGGAGGAAAAATTAAAATATGTGGAACTTGATAGAGCTGAGTATGTTTGTCTGAGGACCAGTATAGTAAGATCTCTGAATTTTGTTTGTCATTTTAGGTTAATGGGGAAACATTAGCAGAGAGGCCTGTTCTTTGTTACCGAAAGTCAGAGGCGAGGTTTGGGACTGTGCTCATGAATTTGATGAGTGTGTTGACACTTTTGTCAGTCTGAGTGTTGGGGTGTGTACGTGCTGGTTTTATTACCTTGCCACAGAAGCCCTTTTCTGTCTCATCTCAGATCAACAACAGAAGACACAATGCACTGACTGGCACTGCCCTGGTTCTTTGATCTAACCCATGAGACATCATTTGGAGTGTTCTGCATTATTTATCACTACTGAAGTATTTTCAATTAAACTGACAGATTAAATACTAACTTTGCCTGGCAGATAATGAAATTCTTGTTTCTTTTCCAAGGAAGCTGACATGAAAGAAGCCAGACATGAGAGGGCATGGGAATTTGTACTGCCTGTCTCCACATTTACAAACAAATAAGCACTGTATGATACCACAGAGAGGAGGCAGGCTTAGTTTCTGGTGCTGACAGTTGTCACACAGGTGAGGAACGCTCAGGTGATTCCAGAGAAGCCTCGCAAAGGTTGGACAGCTGGACATGGAGGAAGATTACTCACCACCTTCCAGTCCTGCTAAACCTTCAGTGCAATAAGAAATCC